ATGATAATAATTCATAGGTATTTGTAAGAGACTGGTAGGTATACCTACTATTGAAAAATTTGGGCGATAATAATACGGAAACATCTCGGAGCAGTATTTCGTACGCTAAAATTTCACAAGAAACGATACAAACATTTTAAAAAAATTACAAAAAAATTACGTTCTGGAAACAGCGAAAACTGCACTTGGCAATTGCAATAATGTGACCGTCAAACGGTTTCTAGAGGATATCGACGGGTAGATCATTTGCCCCTCTCGACGATTTCAAAACTTTAGAAGGAAAATAAAAATAAAAAAAACCGTCATAATTCCGACGGTGGCGATGACATCGACGACGCCCTGCTCAGGGTGTATAATGTGTATAATCGAAAATACCCATGATAGGGCGAAGGAAACGTGAAAGAAAAAACAAAAAGAAACTAATTTAAAGGTGTATTTTACATCACTGTCGACGTAATGATATATGCGTAACAAAAAAAAACAAAACCGAATTCGTAAATAATTGAACGTTTAAAAACGAATAAACGGCCGCTTTTGACGGAAAACTACGCGGACAATAGTTTCTTAAAAAACGAAAAAAAAATATGTGTACAAGCCATTATAATCATATACGTCGTCGGTAGTTCTCTGGTTTAAGTACAATTGCCGGCGGGGGTGCACACGGGACAGGAGCAACAGGATAGTATTATTATTATAATATCACGTTATCGATATCGATTTTTTTAAGTTTTATTTCGTATAATATGTAAATTGAAAAGGTTTTATTTTTTTTGTATACGTTTTTTCCGTCGTCTTCGCGGCGGACGGACGAATGAAAAAGAAAAAAGCCGATACTGGGGACAGGTGCAGCCGCTGTGATATTTGGGAAGTCGGGAACGCAGGATACATAAAGTTATTTAATTTATACTCGTGCGAAGATAAATATATTTTTTATATAAATTTCTATACAAATCCATCGCTAACGAAAAACGGTTCGAAGTTCGATAAGATGTATTTTGAAATGTCGTAATTTTTACGATTTTAATTAAAATTTGATCTTAAAACCCTCATGGAAAAAAAAAACTAATGTATTAAACTCAAATTTGTTTTATACGCCATCAAGTACCATGTATAATGTACCAACTGTGTTCAATTTTCAAGCATTTCTCCCAAATAAAAATGCATACATAAAAACACGAAAATATCAAATACCTACAATGCCTATAAAAATAATCAAAATATTTTGAAAATTTGACTACATCTACAATAGGCCAATATTCGTATTTTATGCAAATTACAGGTCTCCACAATAATCGTTAGCCGAATAACAATAAAAAACACCCAAATGCCCTGCGCATCGTCATATTTTCTACGTTTTTTTCCGGTTTTTCGTAATTATTTGGACAACTATACGGTAAATCAAATAACGACTTTTTTACTCAAAATAAATACAACATTTTCTTTCAGAAAATAATCTATTCTTAAAACTTTGACAATAACTGCTGGTAAAAAAAAATATAATCTTAAACATTTTAAGTAATAAAATCGTAGCGCCGAAAACGACTTTCTCAGCGGGCTAGATGTTAAATAGAAAAAATCGAATCTCGTCATTCTTCGATAGAAACAAGATTTCTGGTAGAAAACATTGTTTGCAAATATTAAAAAACAATAAAATCGATAACGTTGCCGGTAACATTTGCCGTTTTACCTATTATTTTTCTTTCCGTTTAGAAATTTTAAAAAAATAACCTTTTCAATGCACCAACTAGACAAAATTACCTTTTCCGAAAAAGTGCTTCACACTCTCTGCATCGGAGTTACATATCTGGTAGAAAAGTTGTTCACAGCCACAAAAAATACAAAAAACACACGTCATAGTAAAACCAATAGATCATTTTCTACGCTACGAATCTAAAATATAAGATAAATTATAGACAAGGCTGAGAATGATTAGTATCATATACCATGAAACCACAAGGTGACTTTAAAAAAAAAAAATTATTTTTGCGCTTTAAAAATTCGAAATAGTGCATTAAAAAATAAAAAAAAAAGACGAAAACAAATCGTTTTAAAAACCAAAAAAAAAACACAATATATTGTCTTTTGTTCGTTCGAAAATACGAATTCGCAACAAAACGAGCGTTTTGCGCTGCGGGTTTTGTAAAACAATGCAAAACGCATCGAAATCCCATCGGCCGATTATTATTATTGTTATTTATTTTTTTTTATTTTTTTTTTCTCTTTTTCAAATGGATATTCGCCCGCGGGGAACTAACTTTAAGCCGGCCTCTGAGCCTTTTCGCGGCCCGAATCTTCGCGAAACTATACTCGTGTATAATAATATGATATAAGCGCACGGAAGTTTTACCAGAATGGCGGAATAGTTTCCGAACGAACCCGCGCAGCCCCGGCCGTATTCTTCCCGCGGTTTATAAAACACTTTTATTCTATTTGTTCGTTTCGTTTACCTTTTAGGAGATACGTATACTGTTTGTCGACGTCTTCGTTCGCGACGGCCACGCAAAACACCTGTTACGTGTTCCCGAACCGTCAATACTATCATGGTGTATTAATAGCACGTCAGTGGTAACGACGACGACGGACACGGTGACAACAATTTAGGACCGTTTAGAAAAAAAACAAAAAAAAAAAAAAAAAAAAACCCCTACATTAATACAGACGTCGCACTTGACATCACGCCACGTGACACCGGCACTGGTCCGGCCGACCCGATACTTGGAGGAATGGGGGGGGGGGGGGTTGGAGTGTTTAAACCCCAAATCCCCCCTCCCCTGCGTTCGCCGCCGAACAAAGTCTTTGGGCCCCCATGGATCCCCGGACTCCTTGAACTAAAACTACCGTCTCCCGGACGTTGACGACGATAACATTCGATAGTTGACTGTGCGCACCGGTTTTTCGGGCGTACGGACGGAAACGAGCGACGGACAGCGAGGCCGACGGCGCAAAGCCGACGAAAACGGCGCAATCTCATCGTGTTATTATGTGTAGTCGGCTAGTAGAAGAGTTCATTCTTGTATGTGAAACCGGTTTCAAACACGAGGCGCGGTTCGATTTTTATTGATCTAGTTACAGCCGCAGTCGCAACGTATTAGGTCCGCTCATCGAAGTATACAAAACGATATAATTAACTTTGAAAAGCATTAATTTTTCACTATAAATATTTGAATTGCACCGACGTCGGACGAATGTGAAGGCTATACCAGGTCAGTTGCATTATGTTACTGCCGTATTTATTTCTGTACGTATACTGTACATATAATTAGCATTTAAAGTATACAAGTAATAGTAAATTATGTTTTACGTTATTTCGTTATGATCGTGTACAGTTTAAGTTCACTTCCGGGTCTTTCCGAGCTTTACGAAATCGGATAGCTAATAAAAAATGTACAAAAATTTACATTTTTTTCATTTAAGTAGCTTTTGACTGCGGAGTCATAAAGGGAAAAATTTCATATGAAAAAAAAAAAATATCAAATATCAATAAATAGCTCATAAATGACCTTAATGTTTTGAAAATTTTATCACGGCTAGAAACGTCTTACATGAATAGTCGGTGAAAATTTCAGATTTCTATGAATATTTTCTATTGAATCACAACGGAAAAAAAAAACAAAATCGAAAATAACAAACACCGTTAATGTGTAATTATGTCCGTTTTCCTACTTTTCCGCCGGTCTTTCCCAATTATTATGAATACGAAATGGGAAAAATGATCCTCCTCGATGCACCGACTATAGACAGTATTTTCATAGCCGGATCAAGATTTCCGGTCGAAAAATTGTTTACAGACGGGAAAACTAAAACGAAAATAGTAATACGAAATGTAATTTTCGATGTCATCATTAACGTCTGCACTGTGCGACGGACAAAAAGAACAAACGGCTATGGAGGGGCGTCGCGTTGATTACGAAGCGTACGAAAAGCCAACGGATTAAACGGTACGTGAAGAGAGAGAATAAACGCCGGCCGGGAAGAGACCCAGGAGGAGTTAAGCAGCGATGGAGGGATGAAGTAGAAGTAAAGTGACGGCATGGAATCGACGTGGTATAAAACGCACAGGGAAGAATACACCGGAGATGATGTACAGAGGGGTTTCGTTAATTCTATATTGTAGTCGCGAAGGCGGTCGATGAGCAGCAAATCAGTGGCGATAGAGGGGAGCTTCCGGAAATAAAAAAAAAAAAAAACCCCGAAATCACACGAAACGTTTTCGTTGTTTTCTGGACATTGAGTGGAGCGAAAGGGCTTACGGTTTTACAACGATTATTGTTGTTTATTATTAATTTTTGTTTATCTGCGAACGACATGTCGGCCAGAAACGATGCATCGGTTTACAAGCGTAGCACTTTTTCTGAAAGGAAATCCGACCGGGGAGGCACTCTAAGGAGGAAAAATGTACAACATCAGACAGATATTATTACAGAAAACGCACGTGTAATCGTTTTACCGTGTATACGTTGTTGACGTGGCGACACACACACAACCGCGTCTCCCTCCGCTCAGAATCGCTTTTTCGTTAGCGGCGGTCAATCGGGGCGCACGCCGAATCACCACTGACGGCGCGGGCTGCGCCCCGTCCGGCCCGTTACCCGGGGATAGCGTTTCCGTAACGATTACCACGGAAACGCCCGTTTCGCCGTCCGTCCGCGGGCGTACACGAAACGGACCCGCGCAGCGACGCCGTCATGTTCTTGCGGCGGAAACTTCGAGAACCCCGAGCGGTCCGGGGCAGTCGCGTTTCGTAGCGACTCGGCGGCCGTCGGCGCGCGCCCGACATTAACGCGTGCCGCGAACCGGATAAAAGGACCGCGGGCGCCGCCGTCGGACGCGCGCGGAAGAGGGGAGCGGCGTAACGAGGGGCGGCGAGAGGTCCCGAGGGACCGGAGGATTTGAAATATGTTTGCGCGCGTTAACAAGCGCCGCCGGTCCCTTCTATTCCTACGGCAAATTAGAACCCGCGCGCGGGCGCACGGCGGAAAACAACGCCGCGGCGCGCAACCCGGTAGATTCCGTAGATTTCGAGTCCGGCGTGTGGTTTTTTTTTGTTTTTTTTTCCTGTTGTTTTTTTCGCCGCTAACGTAGCGTATTATGCATGCATGTGTAAATATATACAGGGTGGTTCGCCGAGCGCGCTCACCGCATTAATTTCGGTTAAATTTCGCGCGTAACATAGTCGAATTCCGATTTTCGGGACGTTTTCGAACGCTTGGAATTTTTCACGGCATTTAACGAATGGGCGATACCCGCCGACTTTGGTTTTCCCAACGAGAACCTGCATTCGGAATTTCGTACACGGACGGACGGTGGTATCACTTTAAACAAAATTTAAACTACGGCCGGACGTATACCTATGAACGTCGTGAAAAACCCAAGTATATTCGCAAATATCGTCGGCTTTGAACGCGCGCTAAAAATAATTCAAAGGAAATCAGAATTGCAATGTTTCAAAACGCGAAATGTAACCGAAAAACCCGGGACGGGCGCGGTGATAATCGCGATCCTGTATTTATAAATGTGATTGTTTTTTTTTCCGCTCGAAAAAGTCAAGCCGATCCCCGCACACACCCCCCCCCCTACACCGTCCCGACTCACCGACCGCAGAAAACCCGTCGTCGGCGTCTCGCCGCAGCGATATAATATACGCGGCTACATCATAACGTTCTTCGCGCGACAGACGTCAGTTCTATTCGGCGGGTTTCGGTTTTTTTTTTTTCCGATGTTTCTTTCTTCTTTGTTTTTTTTTGTCCACATCGTCCCGCGCGACTATCGCTTCGCGACGCGCCCTCCCGGTGCTCTGCCGCCGGCACATGGCGGACACATTGCGCGGACGGCCGGCGGCCTCGTTATTAACTCGGCGCGTCCATAAATCGCACTGCACCGCTCGAGCACCACCGCCGCTGCACCGCACCGGGTATCCGCGCCACCGAATCTTAACGAGTTTCAATATAATAAGTAACTCGATCCGAACGCGGACCGCCTGTTTTTCGGACGACCCGCGGAGACGGTTTTTCGCGGCTAATATTAGTAATAATAATACGACACAACACGGCCGTCTACCGGCTGTAGGTAAGTAATATCGTTATAGGTGTAACACTCATCGTTTTCCCCGGCATAAATTCGAGCGGCGCCCCCTTGACGTTTTCCGAACGCCGAGACGACAACGCGAAAACAAAACCAAACGAAAGGCGAAACGCCGAAATGAACGTGGTAATGTACGCAGTGCGGGTTACCGGGTCGGCGGCGGTTTTCGTTTTTCTCTAAAAAAAAAAAAAAATCCCGACACTAAACCTACGTACCGACGATATTATTATTACGCGAATATATATATATATATAATTACGTACGTATAATATTATGTATACCTACCGTGGTTTTTTTTTTTTTCATTTCGTATTTGTACTATAACGTGAATTAACTCGTCTCATGACCGCGTACGAAGTTTTTTTTTTTTTTTTTCCCCGGTAATATTATTATACTAATGAAATCCGCCGACATAAAATAATAATAAAAAAAAAAAAAAAAAGCAATCTTACAATTCTATTTGGGTACGGGCGGGCGGCCTCCCGTAGAGTAATAAATTAGCGTGGAAAACGTAGGTAGGTCGTATACACGCTCGTGTGTATAAAATACCTATACGGAAAATGATTAATCGCGGCGGAACTACTTTCGAATTCAATTTTTGGGTCTATTTCGGCCGACAATTATACAAAAAAAAAAAAACGGTAATAATAAAAAACACCGCCGGACCGAATGTCTAGGACACGGTAGAGGTGTATAGGTGCACGAATCCGCCGGTGCGGCAGATGATGACGACCGTTATAAGAATAGAATAGTTTGTGTAAAATATGATTTCACAAAAAAATGTGTAGAATTACGATACTTACCTTTGGATTCTACACGCAACGTGGAATATGTATCGGTTTTCTTGCGATGCGTACCTTTTTTTTTTTTTTGTTGTTGTCTGTAAGCCTACCGGAATTCTTGCTCCGATTTTCGGGAATAGCATTTTTTTTCCGAAAGCCAATTCTATCCAGTCGGATCGCCGTAAAGGGATTGATTTGTCGATTTTCCTGCAACGATTGGAAAACCCTCCGCGGAAAAATACAGGAAAACTGAACGATTTTGCGGTTTCGTTATTTTTTTGATTTTGTTTCATCGTTGCAATTCGGTTAAAAATAATATTGCGCAGAAACGTGGAACACCCGCGGAATACGGGACATTAGCGCTTACAATGGCAGTATGATATAAGCACACACTGCGGCGGTTTGATATTTTCTGTTTGTTTAGTTTTTTTTTTTTTTTTTATGTAAAAAAAAATCGTCAAGCCGAACAGAGACGTTTAGTATTATTATAAGTCGTGCTTGGCGTGTAAACAAAGAGGCAAAAAAGTTGAGCGTTATTTATCTATTTATCTACGGGCGAGCCATTTGACAAACATAATTACATATACTCCGAAAAAAAAAAAAAATGAAAATAAATCACAGAAATATGATGATTAGAGGTGTTTTTTTTTCCCCTCTAATCGTTTCGATTTAAAATGTCGACGGAAACGGTAAAAATTACGCAATTTCGAAACCGAATTCCGCTCAAAATCGTAATCCGTCAGCGCTTATATCTATCGTCGGGCACGAATCAGATTTACATTCGCGTAACTCACCTTTCCGACTTATCAGCTACCACAGGTGGCATCGGTAGTGTTGGGTTTTTGATATTTTTTTTGTTTTTTTTTTATTTCGTAAATTACACCCGCGGCAACACGATTTTCGAATAGTGCCCGATAGCGGACAGTTTCGGTTGTACCATCATCTAGTACTATTCTTGTACTATTATCCGATACACCGCTGGTCTACCTGCAGTGCGAAACAAGTATACAAAACTTGAACGTTTATTTTTGCTGTTTTTCCTGGCCGCCAGTGGTTTATTTTTTTATTTTTTTTTTAAACAAAATATTATTATTTAACGTTATCTCGAAGTACGCTGCACCTACCTCGCGTCCATTTTATACAAGTCCCGCGGTGTAGATGGCCTAGAAAAAAAACAACTCCGTCGGGAAGACCGTCGTCGTCGTTGCGGCCAGCCAGTAGAGAGCGTCCGATTTTCGCGTTGGACGTTTGCGATTTGCATAGTAATAATAATAGTATAATTATTATTGTAATACTTACTCGTGCCTACGAGTATACTGCTGCGGAAAAACATACATCGCCGTCCGGTAAAGACACATTCGTTTTGTTTCGTTTTTTGTTTTTTTTTTTTTGGCGATTGTTCGCGATTGGCGTTTCCGATTTTAAAAACATCAATAAACACCCCGTCGTAATAAAATAACAACGATTGGTACAAGTCGGTATCCGCAAACGCACTCGTAGCGTATACATGCGGCTGTCGCGACCTAGACGAAAAACAAAAACAAAATGCGCACAAAGGGTTGAGACCCTCTATCCCCCCCGCCCTCGACTTTCCCCCGTCTATTCCGTCTCGTACCGCACGACAAACGGCGGACCGAACAATAAAATATTCCGTCCGGTCCGCCGAACACGCGCGCGTGTGCCCGCTCAGCAGAGTTGACTGACAAGCCCTCTTTTTCCTACTTTTTTTTTTTTTTCTGTCGTGAAACTATAATATGTACTGTGTCTCGACAGTCCGTCGTCGGCCGGCGGCCGCTGCCGCAGGGGTCGTCAAAATCGAAAATGCCGAAATATTATCACACTGTTTCGTCCCCGCGGAGTCGGCGGCGTGCTGCCCCGGGAATTCTCGACGGGTGGCGACGGCATAAACAATCAAACCGTACGGATCTTCTTCTTCTTCGATGTGCGCGTGACTTAACCCGACGACGGCAACGGGAATTTAAACGCCGGGCTCGGAAACGGCCGACTTTTGTTCGGCGGGTCCGCGACATTTTATACCCGTCGTCTGACCCCCGGTCGCCGCGCGTGTACCCAATTTCGAATTTACCGCGCAAACGCGCTCGTGGTCCGCGCGGCTTCTTCCAGCCAACAATAGGAGAAGGGAGGGGGAGAGGCACGACCCGATAACGCCTCCCGCGGCACGCGCCACTGTCCCCGCGATGCATAGCTGTGCGCCACCGTGTATCGGTCGGTCGGCGGGCCGGTATACTAATCGCAATCAAGGCTGGGCAAGTTAATGATTTTTTTTTTTTTTTTAAATTCAGTTAAGTTAAATTTAAATTTAAACAAAGTCAATTCAAAATAATCTATTGATTCGACGGAGCTGGAATTTAACCAAAAGTTAAAATTAACTTTTTAAATCGAGTCGGGTTAATTACGAAAAAAAAAAAATGTACATATATTGCAGTCTACTGCCTACTATAATGGCCTAATATTGTCTACCTACAACCCCCCAACCGCCGACAACAGTAAAAAAACAACAGGTATTCATAACGGTTCGTATTTTAAAAGATTCGTATAATAGTAATAATCTGTTTATTTATACGAGCATATATACAAATAAAAATCGAAATCAACTCGTTTAAGTGTAAAAGGTCGAGAGCGGTATGTTTTTCTGGTCGACGGACTCCCGCGGACGAAAAAAAAAAAAAAACATTATCGTCTAATACGTACACAAACGTTACGCGCACGCAAATAACACGCCGTCGCAGTTGCGTGTACGGTTAAACAATATGTTGTGTTTTTTTTTTTTTTTAACGAGACTGATAGTGCAATGTTATGAATTGTAAATATAATACCCGGGGATAAAAAATGATAACAATAATAATATCGCCGGACGGACTGTTGCTCGACGACGATCGCTCGGCGAACCGACAGCGAAATAACGATCCATGTTGAGATGAGAAATCGTCGTAAACCGCGATTCGCCTAATAGACGTTATTGTAAAAAAAAAAAAAACAATACAAGTTCTGATCCGGGGGGATCGCGCGACGTTGCCGTTATCGTTCGCTACCCCGCGAGTAATTTTTTTTTTTTTTACTTTTTTAATTTTCCCGCTCTTTGTCATAGTGCAACGCGCGATCGTATCGGTGAACTCGCGACTTATATTCCTACCCGTTTTGTGTGGTGTTCGTCCGCTCGATTATTCTACTAACCAGCAGCAACTGACCGGCATCCACCGGTCCGCCGACTAACGGATTGGATTGGGACCACAACCGCACAGAAAATTATTCGCAAACAAACGCCGTGCGTGCCCTGCGGTGTCACGAGAAGTGTGCATGTTTTTTTTTTTCATTTTTAATTTTTCGTTTCGCCGTTCAGCGTTTTATTTACTTACGCGTCATTGCGTCGCGCATAAAGGCCCGGGCGCATATTTTCGAGACGCGTCGGCCGCCGCTGCACTATAACAACAACATCGGCGTATATTCACGCCACCGACAAGAAGAAGCGAGGACAGATGTATGGGTACTAAAATAAATATACGAACGCGATTTTTTTTTTTTTTTTTGAAATAAAAAATAAATTATTTATTTTCAACGTAGTACAATATTTCAATAATATCATATTGTACACACCGTCGTCGTATATTAATAATATTTTATTATTTATATATACATATAAATAATAAAAAAAAAAAACGGGATGTACATTATTTCTTTTTTTTTTATATATATACACAATAGTTTTCTTAATCAAATAATAATAATAATAATAATAATAATAATAAAATAGAATCGAAGTTAACAATATTTAAAAAAAAATCAAAATATAATCGTGGTTAATATTAAAAATTAATAATATCGTACAGTCTTCGATCAAGTAATATTAATAATAATAATAATAATAATAATATACCTAGTTTTTTTTTTTGTTTTTTTTTTCCGTATTATTATTTTTCCGAAACGAAATATCGCGATTTTATTCCCTTATTCGTAATATTGTTTTTTTTTTGGTTTTTTTTTTTATTTTTTAAGTATGACGCGCAACGTATTTCGTACAGGTACTTAAAAGCCGCGACTCCGCGTGGTCGTTTCGAATACGCGCGAAAGTATTTATTTATTGTTTTCCGATTTTTCCCGCGGGTGTCGGCGGCCCCGATTATTGACAATCGCGAGTGAAACCGTAAGCGAGTAAGTAGGCGAGCGCGCGCGCGTACAGAAATGTGCACGACGTCTCCGCTAGCACCGAGTGCCACGACCGAAACGGCGCGGCGCGTATATTATTCCGGGGGATGCAGACACGAGGCGCGCCCGCGGTATAACGGATTTATATAATTTATTTATGTATTTCGATATTATCGTACTCGTTTCGTATAATATATTGTGTGTATTTAATTTTTAATTTTTTTTTTTTTTTTTTTTTTTTTATGTCAAACAGGAGAAAACAAAAACGGACAAATAATATAATAAAAAAAAAAAAAAAAAAATCGTAAGTATATAAGGTTTTATATTATTATTACATTATTGTGTTGCTCGCGCGCGCGTCTCCGAAAAAATAATAAAAAGCCGAATCCATTTCAGATAACGCGGCGGCGGCGGTACACTAAGTGGTAATTCGTGTACCGAATAAAAGAAATACACACGCGCGCGCGCGTAAAATATATATAAATGTATTTATTTTATTTTTTTTTTTTTTTCATTCTCTTCTCGTTTTTCCTCTCGCCAGATCTTTCGTCCGCGCGCGCGCTTGTGTGTGTAACATTATTATCGTGTATGGGTTAGGTACAGGTACGGTGTATAATATACCGACGAAAGCGCACAACTCGGACACGTCGGAATAATAATAACGCGCGCGCGCGCGGGACGGGGTGAAGGGGGGGGGGCTGGGGGTGGGGGGGGGGAATAAACGCTCTAGGAGAGTGCGCGCGTATATCCTAATAATAATACGTAAGAGGAGATATTAAAGAGAGAGAGAGAGAGAAAAAAAAAAAAACACGAGAGCCTAGAACCGGTATTATTATTATTATTATCATCATCACGACGACCGCGACGAAGACAAAAAAACCCCCGGAGACCGAACGGCGGTGCGCGAACACTGCGGGGCGAGGAGAGCGGCGAAAAAGACAGACGGACAGAGAAGACGGAGAGAAAGAGAATGAGAGAGGCGGAATAAAATACTGTAATAACAATAATAATAATAATATAATACCGCGCCACCGACACCCACGGAGGTTTTTAATTATCCCGCGCGCATGTCGTAAATATTTATCGAAATATTGTTTTTTTTTTTTTGATTATTTTTTGATAACTTCACCGCCGTCACCGTTGTCGAAATCGAAAAAACGGACGATTTTTTTATTTTTTTGAAAAAGCCGAATACGAGAGAGTAGTTTATTTTAGTGTCGTGCTAGAGTATTGAAAAAAAAAATGTCTCCTTCTCGTTTAAAGGGATAGGTAAGTTTATAGCGCGAGAGGGGCGGCGAATGAAAAAAAAAAAAAAAAATTGGAAAAAAACAGCGGTACGAAGACTAAATATTCAGTCTGGCCCGGGAGAGGCCGCGATTCATTTTTTTTTTTTATCTCGCGAATATAACGCGCAAAATTTGGTTGCTCAAAATCGTTGTAAATTATACGTTTTATTTTTCGTTTGCATACGTTTGAGCTGACTAGAAAAATGGCGTTAGATTCATAAATAATATTTTATTATATTAGTTAGTACGAACCGTTTTTTGTTTTTTGTTTTTTTTACAAAATAATTAATAATATCTTTTTAGTTTTGTTTTCCGTTCGTTGTGAGACCCGCCTATATATAATCACATTTTTTTACAATAATATTAAAAAATTATAATACGGCGGTGGTAGCGGTGGCGGCGACGGACGCGCGGCCCGTCGCCGCGCGCGCGTACACTCAAAACAGAGAATAAAAATACAGTGATAATAAAAATAATAAAAATAATAATAATAAGATAAAAAAAAAATACAAGAAGTTTCACATTCAATAAAAAAAAAAAAAAAAAAAAGG